CCAAGGCGCAGGTTCTTGCCTCTGGCGACAAGAGCGAGGCTGTTGCGACCACCTTCAACGGCCTCCTCGGCTTCTAAGCGCCAGCTTGATGTGTCTTATGATGTTATCACAAAAGATGGAATCTTTGAGGGTTCGCGTCTGAAGGGGTGGTGGTTTTGTTTTCCTATTGTTTCTATTATTCCCATGGTGTTTTATGAATGACTCCTGGAGCATGGCATGGATTTTGTATCATTAGCTATCTGATCTGGCGAGACGAGAAAAAGGCTAGGACGAAGGAGCTTGGTTCATCCTTTTTTGGGCTGGGCTTTGGGTGTCTTTTGGCGACGGCAGCTGGGTGTTCGTGAGTAGGGTGTTTGAATCAATTGGTTTGCCCCGGAATCTTCCGAGTCTTATTGACTGTGACTGTGAAGTGATTTAAATGAATTCATTGCTTGATCGTGAGGATGACTGATTGGGAGTCGTCGCGGTTCGCTTCTTCGGCTCAGGGGTTGACCTGTTTCAAGTCGGCTTCAGAGCTTCGCAACCGGGGGGTTTCCGGATAAACGGCGCAGTTGAAGTCTGCAATCGGGGATAAGAGATACCATCAATCGAAGTTGTCAGTATTTGAGATGCGCAAGTACATCCATCATCCAACATCAACGACAGGACTGAAGTCGGTCGTCGGTGAGGCTCGGTCAACACCCACCCGCCATCGGTGAAGACAACAAACAAACTTTCAGCGGGGCGCCCGCCAAGCGAGATGAAAGAGACCCGGCTTTCAGCAGCCGGCGTCCCCTTCTTAGCGCGCTGCTCCCGCACGTGTAATTTGTTTGGACGAATGACTCGGGAGGGGTCTATTGTGGCACCCTGACGACCCCTGCGAAGGCTTTGTCTCTCACCGACAATTTGTGAGGTTAAAGCGTTATGTGGGAAGGAAACACGGGAGAAAAACAAAAGCAAAGGAGGGATGCACCTGTGACCTATTTGGATTGCGGACAGCGGTTATTTGGTCTTTTCTTTTTGCGGCAGCAGGACGCCAGGAACGAGAGAACGTGACGCGCAGATCTGCGAGATCTTGTTGCTTGGCTAGATCGCAGCGCGCTTGGCGGCGTCAAAAGTCTAAAATTGCCGGCTGGGCGGACGTAGGGCTGGACCAGGGTCTCACTCTCACTCTCACTCTCACCATGACGAATCCGTCGCGACACCCGCATGGCGACGAGAACGGCATCTCAGACGACGCCCACGATGCGCCGACACCTCGAAGCTCGCCGAGCAGCGGCATCCGCTCATTCCTCCCGCCGCTGAACTTCATCACGCTGCACTACGCCTACTTCATCGGCACGTCCCTCCTCGCCTCGGCCGTCTTCTACGCCTCCTCGAACCCGCGCGGGAGCATCAGCTATGTCGACGCGCTGTTCCTCGTCGTCTCCGCCATCACGGAGGCCGGGCTGAACACGGTCAACCTCAGCCAGATGACCGTCTGGCAGCAGGTTATGCTGTGGCTGCTCATCGTCGTCGGCAGCACGATCTGGGTGTCGATCTGGACCGTGCTCGCGCGCAAGCACGTCTTTGAGAAGCGGTTCCGCGAGATTGTTGAGGCTGAAAGGGAGAGGGACCAGATGAGGGAGGGCGAGGGCTGTTTGCCCATCGCTCATGGGCCGGGGAAGAAGGCGGCGGAGGCGAGCGGTGCTGGTGTTGTGGGTGAAGGGGTATCGACGCGTGTTCGGGCTGTGGAGAACCATGTCACCTGGGAATCTGAGAACGTCACCCGCCGCTCGACGGCTTCTGTCTCGAGCAAGACGAAGCCCACGCGTCCCTGGCTCTCCATCCTGAGCGCGTCGAAGGAAGGCCGCAACGCGCAGTTCCACTCCCTCACCGCCGCCGAGCGATCCCGCCTCGGCGGGCACGAGTACCGCGCCCTTCGCCTGCTTGCGGTGGTCGTACCGCTGTACTCCGTCCTCTGGCAGGTCCTCGGAGCCTTGGCCCTGGGCGCTTGGATCGCGAATAACATGCCGACGACGGCGACGTCGAACGGTGCGAATCCGTGGTGGGCGGGGATATTTTTCGCAATTTCGGCGTTTAATAACTCGGGCATGTCGCTGCTCGATGCGAATGTCGTGCCGTTCCAGCAGGCGTATTTCGTGCTTATTACCATGGGCCTACTTATCTTGGCGGGTAACACGGCGTATCCCCTGTTTTTGAGGTTGATTTTCTGGTTGGCTTTGAAGGTGCTGAGATTTACGACGGCAGAGGGGGCGTGTGTGGAGTTGAAGAGTACGCTGGAGTTCATCTTGAAGTATCCGAGGAGGGTGTACACCAACCTGTTCCCCTCACGGCCGACGTGGTGGCTCTTCTTCATGGTCGTGTTGATCAACGGTATTGATTGGGTTGCTTTCGAGGTGCTGAACATTGGCAACCCCGTCATCGAAGCCATTCCGGTGGGTGCGAGGGTCTTGGATGGCTTGTTCCAAGCACTTGGTAAGTCGGCTCTATCTCAAGCTTGCCCGTATCTAGACTGACACCTGTCAGCTGTTCGCTCCGGCGGCTTCTACCTCATCCCAATCTCCTCCGCCTACCCCGGCCTCCAGGTCCTGTACGTCATCATGATGTACATCTCCGTCTACCCCGTCGTGATAACCATGCGCCACTCCAACGTCTACGAAGAGCGCTCCCTCGGAATCTACGCCGACGACGAGGAGCAGCACCGCAACCCCTTCCAACCATCCGAGAAGCACCACACCACCGGGGGTAGCATCATCGCCGACTTCTTCCGCCAGAACCTCAGCTTCGCCGGCGTCGGCGCCGCACGCCCTGCCAGCGGCCCCAACGGGTACGAGTCCCGGACGAGCTTCGTCAGCCAGCAGATCCGCGGCCAGCTGGCGCACGACCTCTGGCTGCTGACGCTCGCGGTGCTGTTGATTGTGATCATTGAGACGTCGCACTTTCTGGAGGACCCGGTGCACTTTTCGGTGTTTAACGTTGTGTTTGAGGTTGTCTCGGCGTATGGGTGTGTTGGCATCTCGGTTGGGTTGCCGAATGATGCGATGAGCTTTGCGGGCGGGTGGCATGCGGGGAGTAAGCTTGTGTTGTGTCTTGTTATGTTGAGGGGGCGGCATAGGGGGTTGCCGGTTGCGTTGGATCGGGCTGTGAGGTTGCCTGGGCAGAGGTTGTTGGAGGATGAGGAGGAGGATTGGAGGTTGAGGAGGGCGAGGAGTCGGGGGGTTGATAGCAGGCCGGTGTAAGCACTTTACTCTTGTTGCATCATTCCACGGCAAATATCACTTAGAGACGTGATATTGCTCAAGATACCCTTAGACTCTAAAAAACGGCACATGTTCCAGCCGACTTCACGATATGCGACACAGATGGAAGGCCAATATGCCTATCTTTACATGGAAGTATTTGTTATTTTGCCGGATAATTCTTGGAGGAACGGTGAAACGTAGCTATGCCTAGCTCTTGATTAGGCTCTCCAGGCGTTGACTGGCGTGCACATGGAGCATGGCGTGCGTAGACAAGCCACATCGTAGGATGTGGGCTTTGACAGGAGCGGCACAACTGTAGCTAGACTGGGCCGCAATATTCGATCCAACCACCCACACTGGTAGGGTTGATGCCAAATCTAGTCATTTGACTAACCCTTACTTCGCTGCCGAGAAAGCGGAGCTGGAGAGCCAGCGTTTGGGTACATTATTTACAAACATCCACTCACTCAGGATAGCTACAGAAGTGCCAAGAATGTGGTGAATCCAGAGCGGTCACCGCCAAAGTTCCGGCGTTATAGCTTCAGGTCTGAGACATGGACCTTTTGCGGCAGCTTTCACAGCAACCTCAGTATCTCCTACGCATGCGCTCCATACCCATAGGCATGCAGTGGTGTGTCGAGAAGGCAAAGCGAAGACCACTTCAGGCGTCACTTCTCGAGGTATTACGAGCGATCAAAACCCGTCATTACCTAGTGGCTTGGCATCATTATGGATTATGGGGTTGAGTAGGTATGCAACAAGTGGCGTGAGCACATGGCATGATCTTTTCATGGTCTCGGCATGTCAAAGCTCGTGGATGGTAGCATGACGCAAATTGTGTCCATAAGAAGTACATAAAGATTACGATGTGCATCGGGAAAATCAGCCGTGCAAGTGAGCCGCGGAAAGGTCTCATCGTTGAACATCCGCCTCTAATCTTTGTGATTGCTTCCTGCTGTCACCAGTGCCTTACAGGAAGTCTCATGCGCCAGAAATCATGGGGAAAATACTTTCCAACGTCAGAGCTTACTACAGCATATCACCTCAGTTCGTGCGATGTTATGATCGATCTAGATGACGACGTTTGAAGTGTTGCTAGCGATGAGATGCGTATGATGTGTAGCATGCGACTTCGGACGAGTCAATCGACCGAACTCACAATGGATAAACTAGTCTCAAACCGTGTTGATCCGTATCGTCTTATGTGTCCAGACTAATTCCCTTCAAACGCATGCTAGCACGCTGAAGCAGATACGTTGATAGTAGGTGCTATGATCCGTTTAGCCCATGGGCTCGGTCACTGCCGTCGCGAAACCCCTTCTCTAAGTCCACTCTATTACTGTCAACCATAGCACTTGATAAATCTGTAGCCCGCGGAGGGCCAGTGCTGCTGGTGGGTTGTTCATTCCTTTGCTGTGAAGGAGCCATAGAAAGTCTCGGATCGAATTTGGATCCTCCCTCGTCATGTTGCGTTCGCTTCGAGGCCTCAGTAGACTCGAGTGGATAGCGAATAAATCCCATCGCAACCTTTATGGGAGCCCCCAGAAGTCTGGACAGAACCTGTTGACTTCGTTCCCATGCGAAAGCAAAGAAAACCGCGGGAATGAAAAGTGCAGTGGCTGTTGAGACCAAATGGTGGTAATTAGCACGTATGGGGTTCAGAGATCCATGAAAGACATACATATAACGATCAATGCCCAAGCTGGAGCTTTCTCAAACGATTCGACATCAAGAGCGAAGAGAGATGTAAGGAAGGACATTGGTAGCTATATTTTATCAACCACGATGAGCGAGAACAGGCGTAGGGCGGTCGAAATAACTTACAAACAGGATGGTTACTACAGTAAAGACCATAAGCACTCTACCTTGCCGTGTTGCAAGTTCTGCATGCTGAATTGAGAGTTTTGCCTGCTCAATCGAGAGCCTTGCCTGTAGATTTGCAATTTCGCTTTGCTGTAGCGAGAGTGTAGCGTTGACCTGAAATGAGTCGTGCGTTAGAAATAGAACCCGTAGACTCCAAAAGATATGCTCACTGCTGCGTGAACCCTTTGCGCAACACTTCCCAGCCCCTTGATGTCATTAAGAATGTAAGTTGTGGTAAGATCCGTTTCAAGAACATTCTGCCTTCTCACCGCCCCCTGAGCATCCGGCTTCTTCCTTTCTTTCTGAGCGTCCTGTTTTTTCATTGCCCTCTGGACATCTTGCTGATATTGAACCGTCGACTCGAGGATGCTCAGTTCGTCTAAAATGTCTTTGACTCTGCTAGAAAGGTCCTCTGCTTCGATAGTGGCGTCCGTAAGTTCCTCATTCATGATCTGTACAGCTTCGTTGTGCTCTCCAATCTTATCATGGGACCTTTCCCTCAATTTCTTTGTCAGATTACTGAACTTCTCAAACATGTTCGTTTCGCCTCTTGCCTGATAAAATATTAGCCTCAGTGCTATTCTAGAGAAGGTTATGACAAACAATAGAGTTGATGGACTTCGAAAATGTTTGACGGATGGATGGGAAGTCTTTCAACTTGCAATCTTCTGGTCTTTCGTCATCGTATCCTTTGGGTTTCCTCTCGTAGGAGTCGACGCAGTAGTCAACAATTAGTTGACTCATTTCGGCAGTGGAACCAGGCTGCAAATCGCTTCCGCCACCTTCTCCCTGCTTCTCAAGACGGTCTAGTATACCATTCAGAAGCTCGTCTTCACCATCGTCAATTGGATGGGAAGATGCTGATATCAACCACCCTGGAGAGACTACACTTAGCACATTCCCTTAAGCTATGCGGATGACATACTGTTGTTAATCGTCCAAACCCATAGCTGGTTCACCCGAACCAAGAGCCAGTATGAACCAAGCTCTTCCGTTCGCCAGATGTCAGTAACCACTTGAGATTTGTTACGTCTCACCTTGTCCTTGGCAGACTCTGGATCTTCTCCAAAGTGATAGTACGATTCGTCCAGAGTTGAAGATCCATGGATGGTCTTCCCCTTGAATTCGTCCAACAACTTTTGGTACGTCTTCCGCGCTTTGAATAGTTTCTTCGTGTACTCGACTTCTTTCTTTTCCTTGGGATCCTCCACGTACTTAAGGTCTTTGTCGATTTGCTGTACTGCTGCCATGAGATTGCTTGGTGTTGATTCCTTAATTATGGACAACTTCTTCTCCCTTTGCGTTCGGTTTTGGGACGACTCGGTTTCGTTTTCCCCTTCATTATTGTAACCAATTTCATCGTCGCATTGGAAGGAGTATGTCAGATATGGCATCTTTGACACGCGTGAGAATGAGACAAGAAATTTGAAAAGGGGCGCTTACTCACGTAGATTGCTGTTACCGCCACAGAGGGTGCTGCTGTCTCCCGGTAATCCTCACTCTCGATCCGCTTCAGATCATCTGACCCTTTCGAGTCTGACCCATGTGCTTTCTTTGCATCTTTACTTCCTTCTCTCTGTTCTCCAGCCCCATGATCATCCGAGTCTCTCTCGGGTATCTTGTCTGTGTCCTCATTCTGAGTTTCATCGTCTTCAGTATTGCGCGAGAGGAAACGAGGCCTCATGACCCTCGATGGAGAGACTTTGTCCGGCACTTCAATCCAGCTGTCTTTGAAAAAGGCCTTGGCTTGGTTGAAATGAGATACAGGCTGGTTTTCGTCTCTCATGATTCTCTGCAGTAAATGCTAGGAAATCATTAGTAAACACTTGATGCGAGTTCGAAGTTGGAGAAAACTTACGTCCATCCATATCATCTACACAGAATCTGTTAGACCATTCGCTAAGTACCTGAAAGGTCAATATTTGACACTTACATTGGTGGCAGGTAGATGAATCCACGTGAACTTTGGTTTCGAGTCCATAAAAATTGGACCTTGAACTATGTCACTTTCCTCCAATCCACTCAAATGCGATTTCGCAAATCCCTTCAGCTTATCTACCACCTTGTACATGATCCCTGCTGGACCCTGGCCGTAAATGGTTTCTTTGATTGTCGGAGCCCTTATGATACTGTCGAACTTCCCCTGTCTCTTGTAAAACTGAACAATCGTTGCGTGGTAGCTGTCTGAAGAAGGAAGCCTGTCTTCATCCTTGGGTGCGTTATACGTTGAGATATCCCTGCAAATTAAACCGGTCGGTGGGTTGTTAATGATGTCTAGAATCTCCTGTGTCGTGCCATCTTTGTTGTGCTTCTTTGTGTCATCTACCTGGTTAGTCTCTTGAGTATCGGGATTGGTCGCCAACTTTTCTCCTTGAGTCTTGAATCCCTCAACTATAGCTTTCGCTGACTTGAGGATCCTTTTGGTCTCCTTTCGTTGCGGGGAGCTAGCAATTAGAAGCCAAAGTGCCCGAGTTTCTCTGGCGTAAGCTGCCCACTCAATTGAAGTCCAACCTTCGGTCTTGTCGACAACTAGTTTGCCGGCTTCCTTGAGTCGTCTTTTTATGAGTGACTTGGCAATCTCGTGTCTTTCTGTTTTGCCGGCTGCCCACATGAGAGTCTCGAGAGTTCCACCGTTACTTTGAGAGAAGCTTTTGAGAATTGCTTCCCCCCTATCATAATAACCACGGTCAAATGCCAGCTCGACTGCCGTTTTACCATCTTCCGTCAACACTGTCGTATCCGCCTCTCGCGCCAACAGATGGTGTACCACTTCATTGTATTGCCCAGCTTTGAACACAGGACCAAGCCCAGTATTGTCAATTGCCTCAACATTCTGGCTGTTGGGCTCTACGTCCTCAATGTATTCGTTGTCGTCAAACCAATCGGTACAGCTAGCAAGATGCAGCGGCGTCATACCGTATTGATCTCTAAAATTGAGGTGGTTGCAGTTTTCATCGTCCAGAAGCAACTTGAGAATGGCTTCGTTACCTCGTACGCTTGCCATATGCAATGATGGCGACCCTTCATGATCTCGGGCATTAATGTTTGCGCCATGTTCAAGAAGAAATCTTGCCATTTGAAAATCATTCCGCCACACGGCAATGTGCAAGGCAGTGTCCTCTTCTGTTCGAAGAAAGTCAGTGGCTCCTTGGATTCCCTGTTGAAGAAAGATTGTGAAAGATATCTCTATCTTGAATGCTTTAAACTTACTTCGAGTTATGAATGGATCCGTTTCGCCTGTTTTGGAAATCTCAGGCTTGTCACACTTAGCACCTGATTCGACCAAGATATGAACGCCATCCCAAAACCCGATTTGAGCTGCCATCAAGAGGGGAGTCCTTCCCCTGAGATCTTCTGTCTCCAGTTGTAGATCCTCATCATGCTGCCCTGTAAGGAGTTCAACCATTGTATCCTTGCGTCGATGGATAGTTGCTGTCATCAGTGGAGTCCTCCCGGTTTTATCACGGAGGTCAAGTCTCGCACCATTGTCTCTGAGAAGTCGCACGATTTCCTTGTAGCCTTTGCTCGCAGCGGCGTGAAGCGGAGTCATGGCGCTAAACTTCTCCTTGAAGTCGAGATCCCATTTGCGTTCAGCCAAGAGAAGCTCAGTCATCCGTCGATATCCACGTTTGACAGCCATAAAAAGAGGTGACCAGTCGTCGACGTCCAATAATTTGGCGTTGGCTCCATTTTTGAGAAGATTTTCGACAATGTCCGTGTGCCCTCTCCAGCATGCTCGGAGAAGGGCGGTGTTCCCAAAATCGTCTTGGGCGTCTAATAACTTTGCGTCAGCGGCGAGAAGTCTCTTCACCGCTTCTGCAAGTCCTTGACGAGCCGCGACATGGAGTAGCGTGCTTCCTTCGCTGTCTGTCATGTTCAAATCCTCCCTGATGCCTTCTTCCGCCCTCGAGCGGATCCATTTACGAAGGGCTTTTGCGTCCCTGGCACCTTCTCTAGACATGGCCATATCCTCAAGTAACTTGCGCAAGACTGAAGCGCTGCCGCCATCATCTCCTCCCTTAGGGCTGTTTGCTGTCATATTCGTACCTGCGCCGTTGTTGACGACCAGCTCCGTCAGCGCGGCAGTGTCCAGGAGCACGCTAGCGTTTGAGCCGGCCATGATGTTGACTCTTTCAGGTTCTTTGCGTGATCAATGCTTTTGTACATGTAGTGACCTTGGAGTTGGCGAGTAAGTTTTATTGGAGCTACTTCCTAACCCATCGCAGACCGATCAAAGTCGAAGAAAACGACGTGAGGCTGGACTTCACCTGGACTCAAGCTGACGAAAATTCATTTCCAACCTCATCGGTCTTATCCAGTAGGATTCAATGACAGCTCATATTTCCCGCATTCAGGCTTGTCTTTCGCGACTGGCTTGGCAAATGAAAGCCCCCCTTCACGCAAAGACCTGCAATTAAACCACCAACCAGACGAGTCAAAAGTAACACAGCGTCAAACTATTGAGCTTACCGTCTTCCAGCCTCAGCCAAGTCTCGAACTTCCGCATCGAACCCCGCAAAATGCGAGCTTTTGCCCGACACAGAGCACAGACTGGTCGAGCCGCACGCAGTAGGTAGGCAGTATTCTTTGGGGCAGGGGTGCATGTGAGAGCCTGGAACCATTCCACATTCAACACCATCTTACTGCATCATGCCTGTCGATGCGCCCATCACATCGCCTGATTCGACTCTGAATGGGCCCCGAAGAAGGATAAGTTCATGCAGAAGCTGCAAATTCGCCTGTCAGACAGTTCATGCAATCAACCTTCGTGGCCTCTCCCAACTCCGGGCTTCTGGCGGGCAACAGCACCCAGCCCAGGGCCCGACCTGGCGGGCGCAACGCGGGACAGGACTGTCGGGCTCAGTCGTTCAATGTCGTCTGGGAGACGGTGGCAGGTGTGCGATGCTGCTTACGGATGGGCAAAAAGCCGGCCGTTTTCATTGGGACAAACCCTCTTGCGACAGGGGCCTTTGAGTGTAGGGAGACCGCAGCGCTGCGGCGTAAGGATTTATCAATACCAAGGCAATGCAAGAGCTGAAAGCTAGGTGTGAATGCATGAAAGGCAGGCAGGAATCAGCAGGCCACAGATACCTTAATTTCTTGAGCGACTGGCTTTGCCGGCGTCGAGGGATAGGCGGCGGGCTGGAGGCATGGATGATGGATCTATGAACGAGCCCGTGATATTTGACATCGCCCATTGAAAGCGATCGAGCGACTGCGTAGCGACGGATCCGAGTGGTCTAGTTGACCTTGGGGCCGTTGGCGACTACTAACGGGGTGGGGACGCGGAGGCATCGGCGGAGTAGGATCGCTCGGCGCCAGTCCGTTGCCGGGCGTGGGGCGGATGGAAGCAAGCCGCAGGAGCTCACGCGCGGAATGAAGACAGAGGGCGGACTCAAACACGAAGTAAGAATGGGTTGAACTTGAAAGTGATAACTAGAGATAGAAGAAAATTGCGTGCGGCGCGATTCGTGCAGCGTCGTACCCCGTCTCGGGGATGCGGCTGGTCGTGAGCAAACACTGATCCGCCTGAGCGGGACAGATATGACGCACGGCATAGGGGCAGTGGCTTGTGGTCAAAATGCCCAACGCGTCTCATCGCGAACATCCGACATAGCCTACGATTCGAGTGCTCTGGGAGGGGCCACTGATCTCTGAAAGAAGTCTCTCTTGGCTGCAGATGTATGGCCCGGTTGTCATGCCGAGTCACGCATCTTGACTTCTCGAACCGGCTCAGGAGACGTGAAACACCGGATCTAATTAGGGCATCGGGCCAAGTCACTTCATCAATCAATGCCAACGTCGGACTCTAAAATTTGGCTAAACGACAACATTGCGAGTTAGATTACTCTTTCATCATCGACTGAAAAGCAAGAAGATTGGTGGTAAGGAGAGATCGCAGGGTGTACTAGCTAGTCACAAGAGCTGAGAAGCCTGATGGCCCTCCCGTTTTGAAGCAGGAAAATAAGCGTAAGGGTTGACGAGCCCAACACAAGGGTTGACAAACGTCGACGAGCTCGTCGCCAAACAACCCCTCATGTCAGGGAAAAGGCTCCCCCACGATAGTGCTGTGGCATAATCGCATGCATTCATCGAAGAGCGACCTGAAACCGATTTGTCTTCAACGGGATGGGGCGGATAAATGACATCGTAGCAAGGAGGCTCGGGATACAACTTTCGTTCTTGAAGTCTGAAGTCTGAGTCAAGAGTGCTGTATCTTACCAAAGGGAAGAACTATGCTTCTTAGAACGTCGTTAATTACTTAACCATCTAATATTCGTGAGCTGATTCTTACCTGCCGGATGCAAGCCGTGAGGCGATGATTTGTTTTGCGTTGGGCCGCTAACTTGGCCTCGAGTGAAGCACCACATATGCATAATCCGATGGGTGCTGTTAGATCCATCGATGTGGGATATACCGCTCTAATTTCGCGTCCCTTCGACATTTGATATACGGTATGCCAGCGTCGGCAAGTGGCCATGAGGTACTCCGAGGAATTGCCACTGATGGGACTGTCCAGAACCATCGTTTCTGGGCTAGCTCTCCACGCATTTTCGTCGTCACTCTGGTCCTGGTAGTCGGATACTTTGACACGTTTGGCTGCCCTCTCCTCTGTCTGTCTAACGTATTCGAGATCGCTGGGCCTCTTCGCCGGTCTTTGTTCTCTGTCGACTTTTCGTTCAGCGATTTCCTCTTCCTCCAACCGTGAAATCTTGTCCACGAGAACCTTGATAGTCCATGCGATTTCGAACAGAGCTTCCTCACCCTTGTTGATATTTGCAGGTAGAGAAAGGGAAGTCATGTCGCGAAAAGCAGGTCCAGCGGATTTGGTGCTGTGATATGTGGACTTCTGTTTTGAAAGGCTCTCGGTGAGGTCGATGAGGAAGAGAAGAAATGTTGGATCTCATCAAATGATCATTGAGCACACATATACAATCAACAATCATGCACATCTCCGATAAAAAGTGTTGCATGTACCATGGATGGCTTGAGCATAAAGGGTGACTTTGAGGTTTGTGTGGCTGGTGAGCTATTGGAAGTGGTGATCTTGGTCTGCGCATTGTTGGTGGCGCAGTTCATCCTGTGGCTGGTTTCCACATGATGATTGAGGTCAGCCGGCACACGGTCGAAGATATCAAGGTTGATATATGATTGGCCACACTGGACGAGTCAAATGCCTTCATGGGGACATTTCCATCGCTTCAAGCTTCAACAGGAGAGCAGGATAGCGTATACGGTGGACTCTGACAAGATTGCGCGGCAACTTGGAGGTCGCCCTCTGTACCAGCTGGAGGCGTAACCAAGGCTGGGCAATACGCATGGTTCGCGTGGTTCATTGGTGGTACGAGACCAGGGTTATGTGTTGAGGGCATCAAGGTGCAAAGATGGAATCGAGATTTCGTTCCCATCGCATTCGCTTAAGCAGCTGGCCATAGCCAAGGATGAGGCGTAGCAGGGCATCGCAGATCCACTCACAGCTGCGAATGTCTGGGCGTCCAATTGGCAGCGATGACCACTGCGCCGCTCCATTGCATAGTCATCTAGCAACTCGGGCGCTATGAAGTGCTTCTGAATCTGGGGAAAAGACCATATTGTGTGAGGAATTTAGCCACTTTGAATTTCGAAAGAAGTTTTGCTCATGATATTCAGGCCATGATCGCCTGCGTAATTCGCATGCCCAGCTCTTAAGGGGCTCACGATGCGAGTTAAGATCCGGCTTCACTCAGTAAAGTGAGTTGATCTAGGAAATTGAAGGACAATCACTAGAGATAGACGATCATTTAAGTTCAGCGACGGACTGATGGAACTGACATTGCTGGCCTCCAGTGTGTGTATGCGCCGCAGAGCGCTGTACTTTGGGAGTGCCTGATGCCTTGGCAACATAAGATCGCACGTGTGAGAGAACGAAAGCCAAGACCAGTACGCGTACTCCCTGGTACTGAAGAAAATGGATAGCTGCATGACTCTAGACTACTAAAGCCCTAACAAAATTCTTGCACTGTTGTTGGTAAATTCTCTAAGGCACAATTCGGCTTTCCTTTACACTTTTATCGCGTGTTGTTCAATCATACCTCACATATTATTCGGACTCAGCGAGGTTTCTGGAAAGGCCCAGGAACTTCTCTGAACATGGCGGACGCCGCGGAAGACTGGAGCGTATGGCTGTATGAGCCGTCGCTTCCGCTGGCTATTGTGGGAGCGATTATGTACACAGCCGTCTTTGTTTGGATCACATACCTCACGGCATTCAAGTACCGGTCATGGTATTTTATTTGTGTCCCGATTGGTGCCTCTCTAGAGATGGTCGGCTATGCGATGAGATGCTATTCAACGCAAGATCATCAAAATATTGTGAGTTGGCCTTAGAACTCTTTGCGGCTCGGTGGCATCTCATGACGGGAACTGAAACTGACAGGTTTCCCATGCAGGGTGTGTTCGCGACAAGCACTTCTCTGATCGTCCTCGCCCCCCTTTTCGTCGCCGCTGGCAATTACCTCCTAATCGGCCAACTGATCCGCGCGGTACTACCTCCTTCGAGGCACAGAATTTTCAATATCCCAGCAAGATTACTAACGCGAATATATGTGACATTCGACATCATATGCTTCTGCGTTCAGTCTTCGGGATCTTCCATGGCGAGCGCCAACAGCTGGGTCGGCCCACTCAGGGACATTGCCATGAAGATTCTGCTTGCCGGTCTCGCGCTTCAGGTATTGGTATTCTCAACATACATATGCATCCTTTTGCGTTATCACAAGTTGTCTCGCATGATGGCTGTACCCGAGGCTCCGGCTGGATGGTTCGGCGTTCTTAAAGCGGTGTACATCTCAAGTTTTCTTATTCTGGTATGTGGACCCTATTACAAGATGCCTTTTGACCATCGCATTTCGAGCCGTTTCTGAACGGAACCGCAGATTCGGTGCATATACCGGATGATAGAATTTGCCGAGGGCCCAGAGGGCTACACCATGACCCACGAATGGATGTTCTGGGTGTTTGAAGGGCTCACCATGGTCGTTGCCATCGCCGTCTTCTGCGTGTGGTACCCTGGCAAGCATCTAGGCCGGTTCGGAGAGAGGGAGAAACAGGCAAACACTCTCCGAGAGGAAATCATCCGGTCACAGCAGAACACGTGAATGGCCAGAAAGAATCCCAATCATCAAGGCGGCTGAAAAAATGACTAGGATAACCGAGTGGCCATGTTGTTACATTAGTCGAGGGATCCTAACATGTTTGAAGATCCGTAAAGAGTGGAGATTGGGCTTCAGGGTCCTAAATGGGAAGTAATACAACACCAAACACGAAGATAAGTGCACCAGCCCACGTGCGTCGGGTTCGCACTTTGCACCTCATATGTGTCAACCACCAATGCTGCTAAAGGATTGATCCGTGATATGGAATGCGGTTTGCAATTCTGACTGAATCTAAATAGAGTATTGTGACTCGAAGAGAACGGCCACGCAGTCGAATCATCTCAGAATTGTCACTCAACTATATGCTAATGTGACAACTTCAGAAAGACTATCAGGTAAACTCATTTCATTTTGACGACCGAACAGCTTTGGCAGTTGAGGCTTAAGAAGAGAAGAGAAAGTTTAAAGAAATGCAGCCACCACGTTTTCGCCGCCACATGAACATTGCTGCAAGTGATGCCACTCTCTCGGGCTCGTGTCATCTCTTCGGAACATCTCCCCGTGATACGACGGGACACTGCCGATCTTGGGAAATTCACGGCGCTGACATCATCTGGCAGATCTAGACCACGGCACAATGCCCCATTTCTTGCATACAAACGAAAAGTTCGGAAAAAACATGCACTATGCGAGGAGATCGACCCAAGACTCTGGGAATGCATGAACTGGCACCTAACCTCTTTTGTATGTATGAATCCATCCCACTGGAACCATACCGTGAGGGCACAGACCGGCTCCGCAAACTAACAAAAGTCTCCTGTCAGTTCCCAAAAGTGGCAGGTGTCCAAGCGAACGGCACCTTGGGAAACAGTTTCATCTCATCTATGACGCCCATCGGAGCTCCGTAACACCCTCAATGGGATTGGCCCCAGGTCGGATTCGGGTCCGAGCATGCCACTACCTTGCGTTGTTGGATCAGAGATCTTGGCCCCGACTTTATCTGTTGTCTCTCACGATGGCCAACGGCAACGGAAGCTTCGGCGTCCCAAGGTCTGAGGCGTCTGGAGCAAGCTCTTCCAAGAATGTCACTTGGATGCGGGTCAGAGGAAAAATGGGGTCGCATCTGCTGGGCTCTTATTATAAGCTTGTATGAGCCTCAACTCAAACCTGACATTTGGGGAGTTGGGCAAGGTTCGCAGTTGAATAGATAATTATCTTTGGTTCGCTTTTTTAATTTTGCTTTTCGGTCTTCTCTGTCTAATTCTGCTTTTCTTCGCTCTGGCTAGCGATCGCAGTGAGGATGAGGGTTTCTATTCTCGCATGGAGCATTTTCATGCTCAAGTTGGGGTTAGTCGTCGCTCAAAATGGACAGGACGTTCGAACCATCCAAAGTTCGTTCGTACTCATCTCCGTAGCAGCTTCGAACTTGGATGCTGCAGTTCGGGTAAGTGTCGAAGACCATTCATCGAACATGAACACACACTAACAGATATCAGAGTGTATCGGGTGATCCGGTTAGCACGCAAGCCCTCGGACCGGCAATGCAGGGAGTGGAAAATGCTCTGGCTCAAGCACGCACCGATATCTCCACCACCCAGCCGATTTCGATCACCGATGGAATCGCCCTTCAGCAGACGGCCGAGACGCTGGCCAAGAGTGTGAAGATTATGGTCATGTCCACGATGCTACAGCGAACGATGCTCGATCAGACTGGAGCGACAGCCGGACTTATCCAGTCTTTCAAGAATCAGAACATGCTCTCGGGAGCTCTCGGCCAAGTTGTTCTTTCGAAACTGCCCGCGGAGGGTCTATCGGGGGCCATGATGGCTTTTGGTGGAGCTGCCGGGTCTATCGGAATGGGAATTGCGTCGTTGAGCGCTCCTCCTTTGCAGCTGCCGTTGATGCCACCGGGCCCTTCTGGTCCACCTGCGATGACTCCCCCGTCTGCACCTGCTGGCGCTCCCGCTCCCGCTGCGCCAGCTGCTCCGGCTATGGCACCGCCGGCCGCTGCTCCAATCCCCGCTTCACCCGCAGCTCAACCCAACACGACAGCAGGAAGGAAGCATGCGAGCAAGTCGAAGAAAAGAAACTTCTTCAGTTGATCTGGGGTGGTGTACGTTAGGTATGACTACATGTAATCAAATCTCCATGTTGGATGCCGAAAGCAAAAGAGACTGGAAATATACTTATTCCGTGACAACCTAAGCATGGTGTTGACTGAATGAAGTTTTTGATTCGAACAGAATTTGAGATTTAAGACCGCAATGGAAGTTGAACAAATTGGTCATCGGTACTCTAAATGCTCATTTCTGGCTACTCCCAAAGAACGTTCACATACTGGACTTTCCTCATGACAGAATCCTAAAACAGACCAATCATTTCCTCAACGTGTCTGTCAAGGGTCCGCGGACTCGATGGAATCTGAATGTCCCACATGCTACTCGTCGAATGATTCGGATCCCGGGCAGCGCTGCCACGATCTTGTCCCCGGTAGTACCAATTGAGTCTCGCTCCTCCTGCATTATCTCCTCTACTATAGGTCTTAATGAATCGACCCCCCCACATCTTGAGGAAGATGTAACCCAGTGTCTCGCGTGGCTGCAAGTCCTCATACTGCTTCCTCAAAAAGCTGCTTCCATCGACATCCTCCACGTAAAGGCGTGTACGAAGCCGAAGTTCTGCCTCGAACTCGCTTGCAAGTCCTTCTATGCCCATTTTTGAACCGTCTAAGGTGATCGTTTCGAGTGATGGAGTTGCCTCAACCAATTGTAGGATCCTCGAGAGTGCCAAGTCTCTGGGAATGGTACCAAGAGGACCAAACGAGGCGATATCCAAGGTCCGAAGATTGACTGCATGCTTGGAGAAGTTCTCAATAAGGCTGGATCCGCGGTATCCTAATGCAAGGTCTTTGACATTCAGTCGAAGAAGCCGAATCGAGCGCAGAATGGGAAGGAGGAATGACGATCCCCAGACGGTGGGCTTGTGCGACAGCATCGGAGCATCAATGACGAACCGATTGTGTCGACCGATGTAGTCCAGTGCTTCCGATTGTATTTGTCGACAGATCTGGAGCAAGGGACGCCTCAGAGTAGTGAGCGGATAGTAACGGTTGGTGCTTAGACGTGGACGGTAGATGGTTGCGGGGCGGTCGGTGATTGTAATGTTTCCACTCGCCACCAACGTCTTGTCTCTGGGAAGGGACCCAGTTAAGTCGTAAACATGATCTCGAAGCTCTTGGGGAAGCTGGAGAAACCGGCTCACTGGTCGCAATTGAGCTTTCTTCAAGGTTCTGGTCTGTCCCTGCTTGCCGGCCCTGGTCCTCTTCTTAACCGATGAAGGCTTTTTGCCGGGCTTCTTGTGGTGACGTCTTTTCGCCATCTTGCGTTGCAGCTTTGGTGGCCCGGCAATTTCGGATGTTGGGGGAAAATAAATGGTTGAGGGAGAACAACGACCGCATCAGCCGGACAGAGAGGACGGGCCGCTACAAATACTACCAAGTTGCCTTGTCTGCAGTTGAAGCTGTTTTTCAAAGAACCCTTCCAGACGGGTTATTCTAGTCGGTTCCTTCATTTCTTCGTGTGGTAGCATGACAAGTGCATGTGTGGCTTTTAGACGTAGGCTGCTTTTGTGATTATCCATGGAATCTTAAGGACAACTGGCTTGGGTGCTGCACCCGATCGCCCGGAGAATTTCACAGAGTCTGAGTGGCCAAAGGAAAGTCTCCCATCTGCACCACCATCATCAGTGGCATCAGTTAGACGATGGTTAATGTGAAAGATCAGTTTGATGAAAGCGAAAATAGGTCAATCAAATCAAAGCTCACCAGAAATTATTAAAGCCTCAATTGCGACGACAGAAATAGCCAAGTGAGTAAATAGCGGATACAGCACCACTAAGACTATCGTAGCACATTAAAACCAAACCTCCCCCTCACTGGCCTAGCCTTCAGCATTCTGACTACCAACTTCCACTCCCGCCTCAAACGCGAGCTTGACATGATAAAGGAGATAGAGATCCTTCGGCTTCAGTTCACAAGCCATGACCTAGTAGCCAATTTGCTCTTCTTCCGTCGTAATACTACCGACATGCGGTGGTGCACCAACACATAAGTTTTCCCTTCGAGACTCGGGCAGATCGCGACAATCTCCCTTCCTATGGATCATTCCACCGCAGACATACTCCACTCGGCATCTGATATGGCCAGCCAGCTTCCGAGCGATGGGCTCCATGGCATTGTTGTCACAGATGAACTCCAAGGCTTCGGCTTTGAGCTAACGACAGACCTTTTCCGGTCAATCTTTACCTCGGGCCCCCTTCGCCATGGCAGTGATGGCAAATACGCTCTCTTGGCCCGGATTTCGGTGTCATCGGTGTCATCGGAATCACTAAAATGATCGGAATCACCAGAGTCACCAGAGCCATCAGAGTCCTCAGAGAACTCAGAGGACTCTTCTTTGTTTTCGTCGTAGTGTCTATCTCTCCAGACTTCGATCATGCGCCGCTTAGGCAAAAGGTCTCCAAGATCCAAGATGGCGTCACGAAGTTCTCGCGGAAGTCGAAGCAGATGACAGGCTGGCTTAGAAGCAGCCGGTGGCTTCTGCAGCTTCAATTTCGACTTGTGCTGCTGCAATTGGGGGCATGCTGCCCTCCGCTGGTTGTTGGCTAGCCGCCGCTGCTTGGACTTTGCTGACTTCGCCATAACTGGATATGAGCAAATAGATTAGTCGATGACCAATAGGAGTGTGAGTCTGAAATGATTCCGGTAGAGACACAAAGAATGTTTTTTATTCAAGGAAAAAGAACAACTCAGCAGCGCTAGCGCTTCTATGGCAGCTTCTAGATGGCTAAGGAATGGATCGGCTTGAGTCTCTTGACTTTGCGGGGGCTTTTGCATGTAGGATTGAAACCATTCGCAGGGTCCGCACTTGGGCGGTCTTGATGATTTCGAAATGGACACAATGTCGTCTTTGTGACGTGCATGTAAGATGATAGGCTGCCTTTTAGACTAACTGCGGTACCGCGTTGAGCAAGTGTCTTGGATCTTTGCATTTCAACAGAACAAGGGCAACATAAAGCAGTGACATCGTGTTAGAAAGATGAGATAACTTTTTTCGTCGAAAGTATTGCCGTCTGTAACCTGCTTCGGACCTTTAAAGAGGAGTTTAACATATCTTTCTTTTATTGGTTTAAGGACGACTTTGCTGGATCAAGAATGACATGGCAAAATATCGCCTCGCAAGAGAATAGGCGACGTCCATGATGTAACCTCAATGTCCTAGCCTCTTTTGCGGCCCAAAAGACGTACCTCAGAGTCTAGCATCGCCATGGAAAACTAGAAGGCCTCTCACAGATGTGTACATTCATCTAGATGATGAGAGTGTGGCTTGTGGCGGGGATGGACATCATCCTCGAAGGGCGATCGCTTCAGTGTTTCTTACTATCAATATCGAATGTCACAGGAGGATACACAGTAAGACTTTCAACCAAAATGCATGTCTAAAGTGAACGATTCAATACTAAACAGACCAAAAACAAAACAAAACAACAACAGAAGCATTTCAGGCCCGGTCGTGGATGCTAAAATGTATGAGAACTAAATCCCACCCCCGCATCACTGAACATTAGGAGGGAGCACAATGCCCAGTTGCCTGATGACTCCAGGTTAGTAGAGAACGAAAAGTTGATTAGATGAGATCGACTTACTTGCACCAAGCTTTCCAATGATCGGAGACTACAGTGAGCCTCGACTTGTCGGACATGCGGTTCATCCATTGAGACAGTCCTCCATTAGGTTTCTCAAAGAATTCTGCAACGTGCTCCGACGATGCGCCATCTTCGCCCAGTAAAGCAGTTACGTCCATCTCCAATTGCTTGTAGTCGAACCACAAATCAGCCGTCTCTCGCTGAAACATCTTTTGTAATTGTCCAAGCCAGACGACTGCCGGAAGGTCCACGGCGCTGGGTGGGCGCTTGCCGGGGCGTTGACCCGCCCAGAGGCTTCTCAAATCAGCATCAACAGCATCTCTCACCACCTTGTCACTAAGCGACAATTTCCAATGGGGTGTGACGTCCACTTGACAGAAGAGATGCTCGAGCAGCGCAGCGCTGCGCAGCTCTCTGCGGAATCCAGCAGTGTTCCGCTGCGATTCACACTTGATCTGGAAGTTGAGTGTTCTCAGAACCTCCGCACGACTGACCTCGGTCTTCTCGATTTCTCTCTGATGACGAGACAGGGGGATGACTCTCTGCGCGGCAAGACGAAGGCGGGCGGCTGTGGTGGTCTTTTGCTTGATCTCGGCCAGCCTGAGGCCCTGGGATCGCCAAAATCGGATGACGCATTGATCGAAAGTCTGAGGCGGCTCCGGAGCAAAGATGCTTTGCTTCTGCAATTCGATCAAGACTTCGAGGTCTTGCCACCGAGGGACAGTGATCGGTCTCATGATGCGGAGGGCGTTGTACTGATGAGCGACGGCCATCAAAACTCCGGACTCGTTGACCCGATAGATCTGCCCCAAGTGCGCAGGAAGAGCTAGGCTGCAGAGAACACTGCCCAGAATAATAGGGTTAAGGATGGTCGGTTGCCCTGTCGATCCATTCAGCAGAGTGAAGCGAAGACACATATTGCGTGCGACTTCGTTGTTATCCTTCATTCCCTCATTCGCACGCTCTCTCAAACGTTTCAACGGCCTGTGGTCCAGGTATCTCAGCAAGTCCGTGTAGAGACGCGAAGTTAGGCCCGATATGTAGAGAATGTCAAGATAGATTCTGCACATGGCGGCCGTGCTGAGACGGACGGGAAGAAGTGGCGGCTCTAACTCCTCCTCAGCCATGCGCTTTGTGAGAAGGTCGAGATAGGACCATCCATCCGTTGCTGCCAGAGACTCATCGCGAAGGGCCATGAGCGCAATGAACTCGAGAGGGTCCAAGCCAAAGGTTGCACTGTCGGTGAAGCACATGGATTGGTTTTCGCACTTTGATCTCATCTTGTCGCTGTTCAGAAACTTCAGCGCGAATGATACGTCACAAAGTAGCCACTTCTTCATGCCATGACTAAACAGCCACTGGTCTTTGTTGAGTCTCGGGGAAGTCTCTTCCGCCTGGAGCTTTTCGTCTTCTGTCGCAGTTTCGGCCCGTAAGGCGCCGTCCCCGAGAGCATAGTAAGAGTAAAGAGCGTCCGTCATGGAGTCCAGGTTGTCAAGCTTTGGGTGCTTCTGGGTGAAGACAGTCTCAAGGTCGACGAGGTGTTCGAACCCTGCTTGAGTCATAAGCGATGCAGTGATGAGGTCGACTTTGCCGCTTGCATATTCTACCCACAGCCGCTGCAGGTAAAGGCGAATGTCGCGGCAGTCATTGAGAAGACAAGAGAGCTCCATCAAGTGGTCATCATCGAAAGCTGCCCAGCCACCCTGTTCGTCTTGGGTACGACGTTGCTGCCGTCTTGTCTTGCGGTTTGCGGCTCTAGCGGGCCTGACAATAGCATTCCCTGTTGGGAAGCCAGCGGAGCCGTCTTCGTCAGAGGAAGAGTCGCGGACGTTGCCATCGTCACCCAGGACGGCGAAGTAGTTGGTGTGGGATGTCTCCTGGGCTGGTCGGACGACAGATGAGGGCTTGCTCGTGGTCCGGGAAGCCGCGGGTCGAGCCGCGTCTCCAGTCTCCGCCTTGGACGGAGCAAGCGTGTCAAGAATCTGCTGGAGGCTGTCGTTGAAGTACTTATGGGCTGTGTTCGCCGCCTCCGAACCATGTTCAAGAAACCACTCCGCACATCGCCGGCGCAGACAAAGTGACTCTTCCAGCGCCCTCCTGATCTCCTTTGGCATCACTCGCCCGGCGTTTGCACACGCCGTGGCTAGATCAACCAGCTCCCATACCTTGAATTGACGAGGAGCGTTTGCCGTGACACGCAGAGCTTTGGCTTCGCGGATGAGCCAGTCGAGGGCTTGATTGGTCTTGAGCTTGTACTGCTTGTAGGATGAGGATAACTCGCTGTAATCCATTGTCGCGCTGCTGAGTCTGAACGAGGAAAGCGGTTGGCACGTAGAGCGTTTGCTGTCTGATGGTCTTGTCGAAGAATCGTCTACAGATGTGTCGGTGTTAGTGAAATTGGCATCAGTTTTGCGAGAACATGGAAGATCATACCACGGCGTATTGGAAAGTACACGCAACCAGAGACAGTCACTGAGATGACTTCGATATGTAAAGGGGAAGATTTCAGAAATTTTCAATCTGTTGAGGGGAAGGCGAACCCCTAACATAGACCGGACTAGAATGGGAGGTAGGCGGCAACTTGCATGACTTCTGTTTGCGCTGGCCCACTATGTGACGTTGCTCACCGGCAAATCGAGAAAGAAGTCGTAATGAGTCGAGCATCGACGAAGTGACTGCTTTGCTAGTCGCCGAACAGACGTCGCAAACTTCAAAAAGTGAACGGGATGTAGTCTGACTGTGAACGCCTGGCTTACAGCCATATCAACATCTATGCTTCAACGTGAGAACTCACGGTTCACTTTCTTAAACTGCTGTACCGACTCTTTAATGTTCAAACTCCACTCCCCATAATATCATTAGGATTGGATGAGTTCATTCAACACCAACAGAGCCAGGTCCCAAGGCGAACCAATCGAAACCTTCTCCTGATTGGCATTGTGGATTCTGGAATGAAGAATTCGATGCATATTGACAAACATTCACTGCAGCCATACTGCATTCACATGCATCTCTGTTAACAGGGGTTCTATTGGTCAAAAGTTGTTCTTCTGGATTTTGACCTGGGACCTTTCCGGCCTCTGGCTCAATTCAGTTAATCCATATGGCCAATAAGACGCATGCAGAAATGGACCAGGAACGCGGGCATATCTAAATATCGAGTGAAACTTGGCAAAGCACTCACGGCATGTGTTGCAATCTGACTGAGAAGAGAAGCTGATTCAAGACGAGCGTGAGTAGAGCAAAAGCATCACAAATCTAAGATACACAATGATACAAGATCAGTCGCGGGTACGACTGAATGACCTGCTACCATATTGAGCCCTGCCGACCTTAACCAAGGGCCGCAAGCATGCTCCTGAATCCGCCATTGGCGCTGACAGCAGCCCCGTTCACCCATCTACCTTCCTCACTGGCAAGGAACCCGACAATGTAAGCAATATCCTCCGGCTCTCCGAACCTTGGAGCAGCAGACGTCTCTGCGATGTACTTATCCTTGAGCTCCTTCGGCATAGACTTTGTGACCTCCTCAAACGCATCCGTAAGAGTCGGCCCAACGATGACGCTGTTAAACGTGATGCCCTTCTCAGACGAAAACTGGTCGGCGAAGGAGCGCGTGAAACTGTCCAGCGCAGCCTTGCTCGCGCCGTATGTGATCATAGGATTTCCGTTAGGGAGGCGACCGGCCACACTCGAGATGTTGATCACGCGCCCGCCGGCCTTGGGCGCCGCGTGCTCCATGTAGGCGATCGTGGTCGCCACGGGGGCGTACACGTTCGCGACCATGACGGCGGAGAAGTTGTCGGCGTTGAGCTCCGGGGTGGCTTTGTAGTGGTCGATGCTGGCGAGGACGGCGTTGTTGACGAGGATGTCGATGGTGTCAACTTTCAGGGCCCCGAGGGCCTGCTTGATCACGTCGGGCCAGGCATCAGGGTTGAGCGCATTAGCCTTGATAACGACAGCATTCTTAACGCCGAGGGCGCGGCACTTTTCGATAGTATCATCGGCGGCGGATTGGTTGGCGGCGTAGGTTATGGCGATGTTGGCGAGGCCCTTGCGGGCGAGGTGGATGGCGATGGCCTTGCCGATGCCGCGGGAGGCGCCGGTGACGACGGCGGTCTTGCCGGCGAGGGACCAGGGCTCGGGGGTGTTGATGGGGGCAGACATGTTTGATGGTGAGTGATAGATGAAGAGGCTGGATTTGGTATTGAGTGTAGGGCTTGGTGGATGAAGGGTGAGTTGAGTGGTGTTGAGAAGATAGTCTCAGTAAAACCAAACCTGGCGACTGCTTTTATACGTGTCGAAGTGGGTGAGAGTAGTACCGTTCAGCCTTTGGTGAGTAATGAGTCTTTCTCTTGACATCTAGAAACTCATCATGCTTATGGTCGTCAGATCGAGGTTGAATGCTCGAAGGTACCAAGCCGGGGCTTCATCCCTCCGCAACACTGGTAACATGGCCATCAGTACGACTTTACCATGCGGCCATGACCCTGAGCCTTTCACCATGTAAGCCCCGTGTAGCATTGAAATCAGATGAATATCCAAAACGTCGATCTCTTGTTAGGGCCACAATACATTCAAGACGCAAGACCATATCGCGGCTTGGCACCGGGTCATAACGGCGCGGGTTAAACCTGATGACTCCGAATGTGGGACCATGCGTCTAGGCAGCTTATCCGTGATCGGGCTCCGAACATGAACGAGCGCTGAGCAATCAGTGAGATCATACAGCATCAATGTCAAGGGAGTTGGCTTGACGAAATTCCTTCGGTTTCGGATGTGAGAGAAGCCACATGGCACTGGCCGGGAACCTGCAGCGGATGAAAACGCGGCCCCATACGGCTCGGGCTTAGCGGCGGGACGTGTCGCGCGCGGGATCGTCGAGCCTGGCGATTCGGCCGAACAGCCGGAGATGCGGTGATTGATAAGCTGACTCCAAGGCAGCAACACTCGCGTTTCAAGGTTTAGCGTCCGAATCCCAGCAGTATCGTCCCGATTGAATCGCCGTGGGCCGCCACGGACCGCCGTGGCCCTCCGTGGACATTGATCACCGGGAGTGCTGAAAAGCAGTAGAAAGGACGATGTAGATGCGATTAATCAAGATCTTGCGACCGTCCTTCATTCAACAGGTCGTGTCCGAGAAATGAACAATACGATACAGAAGGGGAATCTAGCCAAATGACACGCTATTCCGGAGTAACCCATCCTAAGACACACACTTTTACACTCGTAATCGTCACACCACAAAAGGAAACCAGACATATTAGAAACCAAGCAGAATCTTCCGCCAAGGAATCTTCTTCTTCTCCACACCCGCCGCCGAGGCTCCGTACCCTTCCTCTTGGACATTGTGCTGTCCCACGATGGCCAGAAAGACATCGTTGAGCGTCGTGGGACTGACGCTGTGGTGCTCAACACCCAACGCATCCTTATTCTCCTCAAGCATCAAAATCAGCTGACCGATGGCACTCAAACTGCCCGCCTGTCCTCCGGTCTCGCCTTGTCCCCGCTTTCTCGTCTCCTGGACCTGCTGCGCACGCGCAAGCACGTCAGCCGCGAAGATGGAGAAGCGCATCTGCCCGTGGTACGTCGCCGCCTCGATGCTCGCATTAGGGAACATCATCGTCACCCACTCACGCATGCGGTCCATCTCCTCCGGCGTCGAGTGCGGCGCGGTGCGACTGACAAGATGTACGTATAAAGAGTCGCCGAAGCGCGCCTGCAGCGTCTCGACCTCCCCGATGGCGAGCATCCGCTGCGCGACGATGCCGGCGTGATTGGCTAGCGCGTCCGCTTCTTCCATGCTGTGCGTAGTGAGCAGGATCGCGCGGCCCGGTACGATAGTGCTGAGGGTGCGCCACATGATGCGCTTCGCAGCCGCATCGAGGCCGGAGGAGGGCTCGTCGAGGAGGATCACGGACGGGTTACCCGTGAGGGCGATACCAAGCGAGAGCTTGCGCTTGTTGCCGCCTGAGAGGTGCTGCGCCATGGTGTTTACGTGGGCGTCCAGGCCGACGGCGCGGACGACGGCTTGGACTTGGTACTCGACGTCCGCGATGCCTCTGAGACGCGCGTAGTGCCGCAGATGCTCGAGGACGGTCATGGAGTCTATGGCGTCAAACTGCGGGCACACGCCGAGGTTGGAGCGGGCGAGGGCGCGGTGGTCGGTGATGGATACGTGCTCGACGAGGACGTCACCGCCGTTCTTGCTGGGCTGGATGTCGCCGCGGATGAGGGAGATGGTGGTTGATTTGCCGGCGCCGTTGGGGCCGAGCAAAGCAAAGACCTCGCTGTGGCGGACGCCGAAGGTGACGTTGTCGACGGCGGTGAATTTGCCGAATTTCTTGGTTAGGTGCTTTACTTGGAGGCCGTCGTCTGAGCCGGTTGTTTCGACGCGTGTGACTTCGTTGGCGACTTCTTGGTCGCTGTGGGACTGCTCGTTCTCGGTTCGTGGTGTCTTCTTGCGCTTGAGGAAAGCGGGAAGTTTGTTTCCGCTGTCGTGCCACAGCAAGATGCAGAAAAAAAGAATGGCCTGGAGAGACAAATATAGGATTGGGCCTCCGTAGGCGTTGAGGGTGCCCGGATAGCTGTAGAACTCGGTGCTGTCGCAGGCCAAGTTGAAAGTGTTCAGGCCGATGATCATGGCGCGGCAGACATTGGCGACGGGGAAAAAGGCTGCAACGGTGTAGTGCCCGATCAAAATGTTGCGGTCGCTGGCCGTAGCCGGGGAAAAGGTCAAGATGTAGAGGAACGCGATGAGATAGATCGCGAAACCCACGCTGTTGTACGCCATGATAGCAGCAAAGGTCGCGACCTGGCTCTTCATAAAGAGGGAAAACACGTAAGAGAGCAGAATCGAGGTGAGCCCGTAGAGGACGAACACCGGGAAGAGGTAGCCAGGGGCGTACCACACATCCGATGTCACCACGAAAATGGCGGCCGCGATGATGAGGGCAACGACGAAAATGCCGTAGTCAAAGATAACATGCGCCGTCCAAAGGGGTAGTGATCGAACTCCGCTGGAGTATTGCAGACCGCGGACGTTGGAACGCCGCTCGACATTGGTGTAGAGCCCGAAGAAAGCTGGGACGATGGAGAGGACGATGCTGAAGAAGATGGCCAGTTGGATTGTGTCGATGTTCGCGGCACCGAAGGCGCTGTCGAAGGAGATGTACCGTGTGACAATGTTGGTGTTCGTCAAGGCAACGGTGAGAAGGTTCTGAGAGACGACGGCGGCAGCAATGGCCTTATAGTCTTCCGTGTCTGCTCGCCACGCTACAGTCGGGGGTCCGTTATCGTTGGAAGCCCAGAAGCCTCCGGGCATGAGGTTCTTCCTCTCATCGTCCACGTAGTCACGCAAGTTTGCCCCGGAAGAGATGCTGTTCAGCGTGAAGTTGCCCGATCCCGGGGCGAAGACATCGACGAGGGATGTGAATGCATTTCCGTCCACGGCTGCAGTCGGTCCGGCAGCGACACGCATGTTCTCAATGACACTGTCGTACATCCCGCTTGTGGCTCTCCCGTTCCCGTCCGTGGGAGTACAGCTCGACGCAGGCTTGTCATTGATGAGGATTTGCATGATGGCCGCGGCAATGACGGGGATGAGGAAAGCGGCCACAAAAGGGACCCAGTTGGTCTTGAACAGCGTGACGCGCTTGTACACCAACACCGTCATCTGCTTCAAGAAGTCCGTCTGACGACCCGACTGGAGACCGAGCGAGTTGCGGCCGCCGTCTGCCATTCCCTTCTCGGTGATCTGCCCGGAGTCGTCGGAGAACCTGGCCCCGGGCGCAGGCCCAGACTGCAGATCTTCTCCCTGGACCTCTTCAGCGACGTTGAGGAATACATCTTCGATGTTGGGACTGTTGATTTTATACGGAAGACGCGCCGCTTCGAGGGCGCGGATGACTTCTGCTGCGAGGTTGGATGAAGGTGCAGTGTAGACGATGGTGTTCGATGAGACTTTCAACTCGACGCCCTGGACTTCAGGGGCCACTCTGACGTTCTTGGCGTTCAGGAGGTGGATGCGGTAGCCGGCACCAAGCGAATTCTTGAGCGCAACCGACGAGCCCTCTGCTCTAAGCTTGCCCTTGGAAAGAATGGCGATGTTGTCCGCGAGGAGATCAGCTTCATCGAGGAAGTGCGTCGTCATGATGATGGTCCGCCGTCCCCTTTCAGCCAATAGGATATCCCAGATCTTCCTCCGCGAGAGGGCGTCAATGCCGGAGGACACTTCGTCGACGCAGCACACGGCGCTGCCACCGGTCAACATCATACCGAGCTGCAGCTTGCGCTTCTGGCCGCCGGATAAGGTCTTGGACTGGGCACTCTTCTTGGAACTGAGGCCGATGGCATCAATCAGCTGTGTCGTGTCATCGCCGCCGTTTGTGTATCCCGTGGACTTGAGCTGGTTGAAGATGCGAATGTGTTCGGTGACGGTTAGCTCGTCCCAGAGCACGTTCTTCTGGGGTGCAATCCCAATGCCGCCGGATGCGTCTATGGACACGCTGCCTTGGTTGAAGCGGCTGATTCCAGCGATTGCGTCGAGGGTCGTGCTCTTGCCGCTGCCGTTGGCACCCAGCAGCGCGAGAATCTGGCCCCTTTTTGCGGTGAGGTTGAGATTGTTGACTGCCACAGTCGGCTCGCGGGGCTTCGAAACGAAGGAGAAGATGTGGCGGAAAAGGCTTGGCTTGTAGACTTTCGTCAGCCCGTTGATGCAGACTGCTTCCTGCGGTTGAGGACCGACGCCTCTGTAGATCCTGCGACTCTCGGACCCGACGCCGTGGATCTGGCGCTCGACAAAGGCTGCCATCAGGGGGTAGGCGAGGAACTGGATGATGAGAAAGATCCAGAGGACGATGCCGGGAAGACTTGAAGCGCCGGTGGGGGGTCCCTTGATGAGGTTCATGGGCCGGCCCTCGGCCTCAAAACGAGCGATCGACTTGATGAAGAACACGAAGGCGCAAGGGGTGAAGAGCAGACTGAGAACAGAGACGGCGGCCGTGGGCGGATCAGGGATCGCCTGGGCCAGGACGCCGAGCAGGACGTAGACGAGCGAGTTGACCACACCGGAGAGCTGTGCTTTCTTGAAGAACGTGGCGCCAAGGATCGCTTGCGACGTCAAGGCAAGGCCAGCGAGGATGAAGAAGATGATGATGATGCCGATG